TATGCGTTCATACCTACTGTGTAGTGGAAGTCATGACCTCTAGAGGCCAACCACTGTCCCCTGCAATATATAAACAATCCCATTCAAAGAACATTCCATTTCCATCATAACCCTTAATCCTTACCTACCTTCCATACACTAACACACCCTACCTTACCCCCTTCCCACTCCCCCCTTCCTACTCCTCTCCCTCCCTCCTTCTACCTACCCACCTCCATCCCCTCACAACCCCACTCCCCCCCCCCCTACCACCCTCACCCCCCCCCTCCCCCTACCCCTCACCTCTCCCCCCCCCCCCCCCCCCCCCCCCCCCCCCCCCCACCCCCCCCCCCCCCCCCCCCCCCCCCCCCACCCCCCCCCCCCCCCCCCCACCCCCCCCCACCCCACCCCCCCCCCCCCCCCCCCCCCCCCCCCCCCCCCCCCCCCTACCCCACCCCCCCCCCCCCACCCCCCCCCCCCCCCCCCCCCCCCACACCCCCCCCCCCCCCCCCCCACCCCCCCCCCCCCCCCCCCCCCCCCCCCCCACCCCCCCCCCCCCACCCCCCCCCCCCCCCCCCCCCCCACCCCCCCCCCCCCCCCCCCCCCCCCCCCCCCCCCACCCCCCCCCCCCCCCCCCCCCCCCCCCCCCCCCCCCACCCCCACCCCCCCCCCCCCCCCCCCCCCCCACCCCCCCCCCCCCCCCCCCCCCCCCCCCCCCCCCCACCCCCCCCCCCCCCCCCCCCCCCCCCCCCCCCCCCCCCCCCCCCCCCCCCCCCCCCCCCCCCCACCCCCCCCCCCCCCACCCCCCCCCCCCACCCCCCCCCCCCCCCCCCCCCCCCCCCCCCCCCCCCCCCCCCCCCCCCCCCCCCCCCCCCCCCCCCCCCCACCCCCCCCCCCCCCCACCCCCCCCCCCCCCCCCCCCCACCCCCCCCCCCCCCCCCCCCCCCCCCCCCCCCCCCCCCCCCCCCCCCCCCCCCCCCCCCCCTCCCCCCCCCCCCCCCCCCCCCCCCCCCCCACCCCCCCCCCCCCCCCCCCCCCCCCCCCCCCCCCCCCCACCCCCCCCCCTAAATATCCTTTTTGTGGCGCAGTAGTAATCTTGCCACGCAATACGCGTGATTTATTCCCCCAAACACCGTTGCCTCTTAATGTCCCGTTCGAAAAAATAGCCAACGAACATCTAGCCTTACCGCTTAGGTTGGTTGTCAAGCGATCAACTAATCGATGTAACGACTCTTCTAGGATCAGCACCTACTGCATGCGTTAGCGCTAGTGAATAAGCTCGCGGTTGCCCGATGATTTCCCCGTCCGTTGGAGGTGTAGTGGTAAAATTCTTCAGAAATACCCAGTTCTATAATGTAACCATAGGATCTAAAGTGTTCGTCTGTGTCAATCTGCATGCGATTGTTCGCGTAGCTTAGTACACATTCACGTTGTGCTCAACTTCGTGTCTCACTTGTCTTACATTGCGTTACTGCCGATTTGAGTAGGATCCAATGGATAGTCTGGTATACCGGTGTCGTCATAGTCGCAACTTAGACACCCTGTACATAGACTACTTAAATAAACTATCTTGGTGTTTCATATTTACTAGCAGAATCCAGGCCGTACGCGTTCCGCTATATAGGTGACCCACGACGAGTCGTCACCACAAAATTATGCGTTTGCATCTCGTACACCCGTAACGTAGCTGCATGATCGGATTGGTGGGCCACCAATCCTCACGATCTACAAACTACGTATGAAGCTGATCGCTGCATCACTTCTGGTGATTGGATCGATGAGGAACTCCACCGTGTAGATTGTTTGAATGCTTCGTTCATGTTTCGTGAAATACAAATTTTTCGATCGATAGCAAGATGTACATAACTTCAGCGTTGGCAATGATCGCAGGCGCACGTGATCTACTAATCGCATTCCATAGGACCGCTGTGTCCGGATGATGTGTAGTAGTAGTAATAGTAATCTCAACAGTCTAGTAACTAGACATAGAGCCAGTTAAATTTTTATACGTGAGCAGTTTTGCTCCCCGATAATATGTGCACAGACCTGTACAGGTTCTCCTCAAAAAGAAACGCATGAATGAAAATTTGCCGCGACGAATAATCATTCAGAACTCTATTTCGATGCGCTAATCAGAACACGCAGTATCGGCCAATGAAAATGCAGCATCAGCGTAGCCTATAGATGCGCCCCTTTCTTCTAGTGCAACATGTCTCAGTTTTCACCAATTTCATTAGCTGAGAAGAAAAAAGTGGACAACTTTCCAGTTTTTCCCACGATTGGGCTATCAGGGTCGCATGAGGAGGTTGTCATCCGTCCTGAAGTAGCTAGTGATATGTATCCCGCAAGATCAATCTACGTTTCTAAATGATGACAGGTTCACTCAACCAAAGTGGAGTTTGACATGCGGCCTCGGGGATATCTAAGGTGCATCCAGGAAGAACACACTTGAAATATTCAGATAACTTTTTCCACCTTAAAATTCGTTCCCACGGCATCAGTTCTGCGGACGTGTACTTCACGTAAGACTATCCGATAACGAGTGAGCTACACCTCGTCCTCGATCCTGTGCTTTTCATTCTTTGGTCAACATATTTGATGCCTCAAGCGTATTTGCACTGTTCACAGTAGTCTTTTATTTGCTTATTTTCAGATCTTACCCCCAAAGAAGAATCGTTTGGTCGATATGTAATCACCCCTCAACCCTTGCCTTTCAATCGTTTGCCCGGATATTGAAAGTTGTCCAATTCACTTTTATTCGGGATGCCAGTTTCTATCCGCCTTGTCATTATCTCGAATCATGAGATGCCCAATCACAGTGCCTCGCGGTCTAGATGAGAACTAGAGAGCTGTGACCATCCCTGTGAGATCTCCGCAGTACACAGCGAATTCTCAGCCACGACAATTTTTGACAAATGAACTGTTTTTTTGTGAATTATGACCACAGAGAACAGTTTCTGGGATTTTGTTGAAAGTGTGCATAAATTCTCTTGATCAAGCAAGTTGTCAGAGCTTCGTTTTTATATGCGAATAGACCAACTGTACTAGTGATTAAAATTGGCATACCCGGAGCAAATTTCGACTACGCGGCATTTGTAATGTTTTTAGCATGAGATCGACCAAAATCTATTTATCAATTCATATCCCGTCAAGTCTCAAGGAAATACTGGCTATGAAGCTTTTACGAACTGATATGTTCGTAAAAGATGGTTGTCGCATACACAACTTGGGGTCATCAATGGTTCGGTACAAACTACCACTGTGAAAGGAAAATCACGGAACACGCAGCTCGAAGTTGCGGTTTCCCAAGGTGTTGAAAGTCACACACGTGTTCTAAGTAAAATGGTAAATATGTGTTAAAACAAGAAGTAGGGCGCTGAAATCTCTCTTTACATTGTTTTACCTACACGCGCCAAGTGTTAGGGGAAAAACAAAGGGGGGGAATATTTACAATGACCGGGGCAAGGAGTGCTTTTCAGGCAAATAATTTCTGCGACACTGAATGAAGAAATTGGAGTATACGAGCGTCTGCGCTGTCGGATACAACTTGGTCGGGATTGTTCGAGTTCAGGTCTGGGATGGTAATGCACGCTGTGGGAAAAAGAATAGAGACGAGAATTTTCAGTATTATTGTTCGTAATTTACAACAAGTACATCGCTTTTACGCTAGCTCATGTTAAACGGTTCTTGGGAAGACAGAGACGATTAGATGATCCAACAAGTTAAGCTATGAACATAATCACCAAGTGGCTCACAGTTGTATTTCGAGTGCAGCGCGAAGGCACCCTGTGCAAAGGCACTGGCGGAAAGTGTTTCCAGAATTCGTATATCCCAGAGATATTCTATGACTCCGTCAAGACATTCCAAACTGACGGTATTGTAGAATCCGCCACAGGCTCCACGGATTTTGTCAACTGTCTTTAATGGCTGGCTCGGTTTTCCGTCTTCAGTGGTATTCCTCTGTTCATTCGCGGATGCCACCGAGTCGGTAGCCGGATTCGAACAATTTGAAATCAATTGCAAGCCAAAATCTATTAGAGAACCTTCAGGGCTGATTTGGCTCAGAACTAAGGCTTCCGCATAGCGATTGAGCGCTTGACACGAGCAGATCATCCGGGAGATAAACTGAAAAACGGGGTCAGTAAAGGATACAGAAGAGAGGGCTCCGATGGCCACATGAGAATAGGGCGCAAAGGGCAAAGATGGTTTGAGTTGAGAATGTGATTTGTGCACCCAGGACGGGCAAATCTTCAATTGTAACTTACACGTTGCACAAATACATATACATGCGAATGTGGAGAATGTTCTTTTGTAAATAAAGCAGACAGCAAATTCTTGAACGATTGTGTGCTAGCCTCGCACTATAGGTGGAGTGGTCGACGAGCAGTAGACAAATGTTCGAACATAACTGAATGTGTACTTCCGTCTGGTAGAAGTTGAAACACAATCAGATAATGTGCCATGAAGATGAGTCTTGAAGCAAGCTTTTTACAAGAACGGAACGCCGCTAAATCGGGACATTTGTTTTAGTGGCTTGCCTAATGCTTTAAAATACTTGTCTAGTGGATCAAAAAAACTACCACAGAGCGGGTTGTCCAGTGTGGAAACACAGGCGGTGATAGAACGCAGTATTACATCGGTGAGAACAGAGAAGGGTCCTAGAAGGTAAATGTGGAAAGTTCCCCTACTTTTTGAATACTTTGCCCATACGAACTGGCCAAGGCACGTCGTGGCTCGGTGTAATAGCTGGAAACAAAAAAACGTCGTTGCATTTTATTACACAGCGATAGCTCATAAGCTTTGTATCACTGTAATATTGTCTAGAAGCGTAATTTGGCCGATAAGGGCATACGGTCGAGTGTTTGATGCCCAAGATCACATCATCGGCATATTTCGATGATATCGCTTCCTAAGAGGCAGGTGCATGTAGAACAATGACAACAAAATAATCCTCCTTAAAGAAATCAGAGCTTGTGATGTTTATTTAAAAGCTTTTCCAGTAAGTCGGGTAAACTAGGTACGCAGTTCATCGACAAGTGAGCAACAAACGGGAAAATCCCACCATACAATAGATCTCATAAAAGCATTCTGTAGTTAAGAAGACATACTCGCACGGATTTGACTGTATTATATGGCGATGGCATCATCGAATGCCTGTTGTGCGTATTACGAAGTAACATATTCAAACCAAAGTTCAATAAATAGGGCGGTGTTTATTTGATTACTTCTCTGGGACTGATTTAATGTTGGCACCTCTGTAGCCAGTATCAACCATGAATGGTTTGTATAAATCAGCATGGTTTGGGGGCAACGAGAGATTCCGTCTGGATCACTTGCTTTTCTGGATTCTATTTGTAACAGTTTATTACGCTCTGTTTTGCTGTCGATGATAGGTAACAAAATTGCATGCCAATGTAATCAGAACGAGGATTCATCGGTAGGTAAGGTTGAAACTACAGATATTGCGGTTTAGCTCATCTGCATTCGATACATAGTTTCAGCACCCTCCAGACGTCTGGAGATGTTATTACTAAGTATGATCTGGTAGAACCGCACAACTCAACCTTAGGAGAAGTACGAAGTAATTAGTAAGATGATTCTACATGAAATGATTGTCTGACGCTTCTTCGGATTTGTGGTAACATTACGATTGGAGAATGGAGAACACTATAGCATGAAATTGTCAAAAGTGGTGTCTCCAACAAGTATGATCGTGGTCGACGGCTTCTGAAGTAAACTCGCAGAATGTTGTTGCCTCTAAGTAGAGACAACTTGAAAGTGTAGAGATGTTAGTCAGCGGTATCCATATCTTGGCTTAAACTCCAACATTAAGCGGTTAATACGTTGTGAAAAAAGCGAAACATGCTTTACATTGGCGTGCACCACGTAAGATTGATATGGATGATTGCTTGGTGCGTATGCGGTCGATCGACACGGTGGCAAGTAAATCCCTCAGCCGTTGCAACTGCGTCATCCACGTATCTATGGAGCCAAGTCTCCTATAGGATATTTATGCCTAACTTTGAGTATTCCTGATAGCCAATTAATCCACTTTCCTCCGGAATGGATCGGATGTTGGTGCTAAGTCAAATTGTAAATATTCATGCTTCCTTTTTTCCTGGAAGTACAGTTCTCCGGCGCGACAATTTTTAGTGGAGTTATGCTTCTCAGTGTTTACTTTCAGTTTGTTCCTTATAATCTGTCAGTGGGAAACTGAACTGTTCACCTGCGCGATGACAGCGATTTCAGAATATCCCAAGTGTGAATTATCTTAAAATGGCTAGGTGCATGAAATCAATAAAATAGTCTCCAGCTCCGCCGAAAACATGGGT